AGAAAATTTAAATTCACATGCACAGTTTGACAATAATAAGTATTAACATCTTTTGTCTTCAAACAAGAGCTAGCTTGGACAAGTGAATAAGAGATAACATGTTGTTTAAACCATATGTTTGTAAGCGAAGAGTATTTTGTGTATTACATTTAAAAAAAATAAAAATCATTAATATTTCATGGACTAGAATTAGTGCATTTGGAAGAGACAAATAAAAAACCTTGTTAAAAGTGGTCCTATTGAAATAATTTTAAAACAATAATAAAATAATGATATCAGTGTAGCATTTACATAGCCGTGAAATATACACTGTTGGTCATAATGGTGGAATATTTATTTTTACCCCAGTTTAGGGGTCTAGATCTAGATGCATTTTTCTGATGATGTTATCAGTTCTAACAACCTGCTGGGCACCGGAAAATAATCTTTAAAATCAGGTAATTTCAATATCCGCTTCAAATTTATACCATGCAACACCCCTACTTATAACGTTAGTCTTCTAAGCATAGAATATCACATGCTTTTTTTACGAGGAGGGATTTATTACTTTATTTCTTCCTGAACATGCTCGTTTACGATTATTGTAACACATTTTAATGAATGCTTATGGATATATTACCTGAATTAAATGTCACCAGTTACTTTAATAATCCTCGTTTGGCCCATATCTTCCTATCTTATGATGAATTAGTGTAGCATGATGTTATCATTATATTCGTATATTAATGATGTTAATATATGATAAGTTTGTTCCATTGCCTTGTAAAACAACAAATTACCACTTCCTTAGCTGCATTACTAAATTGCTCCCTTTAATAAAGCTTTCAATTTAATTTTAGTATAGGCCTATAATGTATTGAGTGAAACGAAACTATTATAATGACTACGGTAGTAAACATAATTGTACAAAGGTAATTTCCGTCATACTTTCGTCCTCATACTTTTATTTTCAACAGGAAGGGAAAATGAGCACAGCTATTGTAAGTGTACTTGTATTTTACATCAAAGTTATTCTCACAATGATTATATACGACCAATCAATAAAGGCCTCTGGAAGGAGATTGTAAGATATAAACTGTTGCCCATAAAGTTGGAATCATTTTTTTTCTTCTTATCTCTTTCTTGAAGTGATTATGATCATTTGGTTTATTCTTGATAGATAACGTTTATATCTTCTCATAACTTTATATTGATCATCCTAAAGAGGCAAAGAGATTGATGAATAACGTTATGAGAAGATAATAAACTTTATCTATCAAGAATGAACCATGTTGATACAATCACTTCATAAATGGAGAAGAAAGAAAAGAAAAATGTATTCCAACTTTAAAGTTGCCAGTGTAATTATTTAGATTTATATAATGATATTGGTATTATATTGGTCGCTTGTAGGCCGGGAGTGTTCATCTCCACTAAGCATCGAGTGCTTATGGGTTACCATCAAAATGGTATTATTCAACCTTCCTGGGTCGAGAGAGGCAAATCATGTCTTGCCAAATAGTGCCGCTGATCGGTACACAAGTGTTGTTAAGATTGCATGAGTGAACTTACCCTTGTAGGTGTTTTGCTAGAGAAGGTACAATTAGCTTTCGGACCTTGGAGACCGTTGATGAAACCTTGTGCGCTGTCGACGGTCCGTTGTCTATACGTGCCCTGGAAGTCGAACCCGTCGAGGCCATCTTTGACGAAGAGTTCCGGCAGACGTTGCTTGATCCTCATACCCAACCCTTCCATTTCAGCGAAACCGGCAGGGTGGAGCGAACTTTCGAGCGCTATCGGGTAGAGGTTGTCGGTGATGTTGAGCAGGTAGGCGAACTCCTCGCTGACGCCGGTCATTTTCATCCTCGCCAAGATGGCATTGTAATCCTCGATGTCGCCATCACTCGCGTACCGCATCCCGTGGCGGTTGACGGCGTACACTCCTACGGGCTTGCAGCCCGTTACCGAGGCGCTCTCCCCGACATCGCTGGCTATGGTCTGCCAGTCCCTCAACCGCTGGTTCTTTTCGTCGGTCCCAGGTTCGAAGCTTGTTTCGTAGCCGGTCTTCGTGCTGTAGCGTGCTGTTGGACCTTGGCCGTAAACGCAGACGACAACGGTGATTAATATTGCCAGACGATGCATTTTTGCTAATTGTTGTTCTCGCTCTCTAGCTGATCAGCAGAAGAGTGCTTACGTCGAGTATCCTCGGTATTATTGAACAAACATGCTCTGACTGTCTCGACCTTTGGAATAATACGGGCAGCGTTAAACTAGTGAAGTTGTCTATAGTTCGCCCATTAAAAGCGAGCGTAGCAAAAATTAACACGCGTTTCAGTAGGATGTCCGTGAACTTGTATCAATGAATTATGACGTCGGTTTCGTGAAACAATGCGTTCGCTGGATGCTCTTATAATCTACATATCCTGTGATTCCTGTCGAGAACGACTGTGAGCTATGTTACCCAGCAAGAAGGTAAAAGCATTGTCTAATTAAACAGCTGACATATTTTGAATGACGGAAACAGCGAAGGGGGACATTACTATTGTAATTTGCTGAGCTCAGCATGTAAGATTACATTGTTGTTGCTAATTGTTATTTGGCACTTTTTGGCAGCATCTTTGCGCCCAGGGGCGTCGGAAGTTGGGGGGGGGGGGGGCAAAACGTATCTTTGCCCCCGCCCCCTGAAAAAAATCAGCGGTAAAGGATTAAATATTTGTATTATTTAACCAAAAATAAAATAAAAAGTAATAACAAACATGAATTGAATCACAACCAATCAGTAATTAAATTTTCTAAACATTCCGCATACCCCTACATTAATCAATAGAGAATTTGATAATTGCCCTACGCGCATTCATGTATCGTGGAAATATTGTTAGAGGATGGTAAAGCGTGTTTTTTTTTCTCAAGGGCCTTAACCCTAAAAAGGGCGGACAATTTGAGGTCTTAATACGGCCGGGGTGGGGGCATTATGCCCCTCCAAGATCTCGGCCTAGGAAGGTTCAATTAATTTGAAAATTAGGATGGTGATAGATTGAAGTATATTGAATAAGATGGTAATGTTTATTTTCTTTTATGTTTTTTTTTTTTAATTAATTTTTTATGACAATATGCACATTTTGGGGGGAAATATTCTTACACACTCACATTTGTGAGAATTACATATTTTGATAGACATGTGATAATATTTTGTCGCCTAACACCCGAACCATAGATCCGCCCATATCCAATTTGGTATCAAAATGTGTGGGAGACATGAGGGAAAAACTCATGAAATTTCAGCGTAGATGGCGTTAACAAGTATTTCCCATGCTACACCCCCCCCCCCCCTTTAAATGGCATAACCCCCTCGGAGCTTCATGTGGCTCAGCCCCCTGGACCCCACGCCAATTAGTGAACTACCAGTATCGCAAATAAGTTATCTAAATACGCTTATCTGACTATTATTGATTGCCTAAATCCCCTAAGTTTTGTGGGGCTCCCTGATCCCCGCCGGGGCAAAACCCCTGGACCCCACACTCACTTCGCTCCCTACGCTATACCTGATCGTTATTACTCCACTTTGATAAACGTTCCCTGGGGCCTGCATGTTACATATGAGAGTGGTGGTGATGCAGATTTTTTTTTCTGCCCCCAAACATTTTTGCTCATTACGCCACTGCCCCTGAAATGTCCCCCCCCCCCCCATCCCAAACTGCTTCCAGTGCGCCTGTTTGTGCCTACATGGGTGCCGGGAAAACACCAGCATGTTTAAAGAGCCTGAGAAAGGTTGGTGCTTTTTTACCCTATAGTTCCGCCCCCTTTTTACCAGTTTCCAGAAAGCATGTCTACAGTGCATGGTGATGTGAATGTGTGGAGGCGTCTGTTTAATTATGAGCGTTTCATAATGTTGTCGTAAGAAAATCTTTGGTGTGGCTCAAGTCATTGGGGGGGGGGGGGGGGGGTCATTAGCTGGTGGGGCCGTGGGGGCACCAGTCTTAGGTAGATGAAATGATAATGTACAAGATCATCTTTAGGGGGATATACTAGTACCGATATAATAGTACGGGAGATATAGTATGAATAATAGTATGAGAGGGTCCTAACTTCTTTTCGACATAGCCCTTTCCGCCCTATCCTTTTCTTGTTCTGCTTTATATCGCTCACTTTTTTTCTTCTTTTCTTTTTAGCCATTCAGTATAACGGGATGGGGCATAATCATCCATGACTGCCTTCAAATGGACTTTAAATGTCACCAGCTGCATACAGGAAAAATATCTGTATTTTTTATTTAAAAAAAGGCGTATACACCAATACTGGGTATTGCAATAAAGTATTTCTGTAAATGATGTCACTATGAAGCTGAATCATACACAAAGATCGAGTCACCACACATGCAGGGGAGGGGAAGGGAAGGGGCAGGGAAGGTCACGGGCGGGGTTTAGAATCTGAAAGAAGCATGTACGTGAATCAGAAATTATTGGCTAGGAGTGAAACAGAATTGCAAAAGGAAAACCGCCCACTGTTTCCATTTTTTTTTTTTCATGCGTTCGGGTTATACCTACTCCAATCAACAGACTTCTCCTTTTCCTTCTCCTTCTCCTTCTCCTTTCTCTCTTCTCCTTCTCCTTTCTCTCTTCTCCTTTTTAATGTCCATCTTATATTATTCTTCTCCTTCTTTTTTTCCACTTCTTCTTCCCGTTCTTCATCGTCATCTTCTCCTCCTCCTCCTCCTCCTCTTCTTGTCTACTTCTCCTAATTCGTTATTTTATTTCCTTCCTTCGGCCTAATAAATCCATCTAGCATAAATTCTGAGTACATATCGAGTTCTTTTGGATAAACGCTCATAATCTCTTTCCTTCTCTTGACCTTCTTTTGTCAATCCAAGTCCACTTGCTTCTTCATTTCCTCTTCTCCTTTCCTTTTCCACCTCCACCCTTTTTCTCTCTCTCTTTCAAAAGTTCTCTCTAGTCTCTTCACCAAACACTTCACTCACAATTCTCCATGATACAACACAATGAATAATACTTGCACAAAATGTCTTGACTTAAGACACGCCACTTCTTTTTAATAGTCTGCATAGTTGAAAACCAGGAAAAATGCATAAGGCAAAAAATGGTCACAAACTATTTTTGTGTTTTCAACTGAGCTAAAGTTATCCCACACAGTCAAGAGAAAAAAAATCAAACCAGATAAAACAAAATTATCGGATTGAAGAGAAAAATAGAAATAATAAATTCTCTATTTTACATGATTGTATATCACATCTCACACCCAAATTGTACTGATAGATTTTCAGTACATTATTTCATCTACTTTGAGATAATATCTCAAATTTCTTTTTTTCGTATTGCACTTAATTTTTCATTTACATTTCCTTTTGCCATCATAGCAAATGAACTAATCACAAAAGAAATATATGAAGCATACATTCATAGAGAGAGGCTTACTGACTGCTAGACATATATGTTCCCATTGCCTCTGATTTGCATACATAAGTGATATAAATATGCACAACCCCTATAAATTGTGTACTGCATGCAGGACCTGTGTTTCCTTTTTGCATGTCAAATCAATTGTTTATACAATATTCCTTTGATACATCTGAAACAACACCAAATAAGTTTAGATTTTTGTAACAATGGGAAAGGGCTCCACTTCAGACAGAAAATATTTATCTTGCTTACAAATCATCATAGCTGCATTCTCTTAAATAAAGTATATGATACGATTTAAAGCTGCATGAAAATATCTCCTTAAATGGTTAAATATAAGCATTTTTCTTAGAGGTACTATGTGATGTTTGAAAGTTTTTTTGTTTTTTTCCTGTGGTTGAAGTTTACATACATTGATCATGAACAAACATGTAACAGCAGGGTGGACTATGACTTTGCTTAAAGGTCTAGTTTGCCAACATCAGTGCAAACATTTACATTTCATTTTCTCGAAAATAATCAAGTTAATTGGAACCTTTAAAAGATAATATCATAGGAAGGAACATGCAACTTCAGCTCCAGATTACACTGCAACTAAATGCACAAGCTGCTAACACAGTTACTTCCCACTCAAGGGTTTAAAAAAACAAAAACACAACAAATACACACAAAAAAGGCACATGCTACATTTTGACGCTCAGCAAGATCACATCTTAGAACAATCGGAAAAGCTAGTACTTTACTGAAACAGAATAATAACATAATAACATAATATTATTATGTTATGACTTTGCCTATACGTTTTTATGAGACATCATTGTCATACGTTAATGGAAGAATTTATTTTTACAAAGAAAACAAATGAACCTGGAATTCTAGGTTAAAGATTTCCTGACAGCATGGCTAATAACTGTTATGATAATTCTAATACGTTACGCGGAAATTGCTAACATCTGTTTCATTCCATGTATTTAGAATTACTGCAATTCCAAAAAAATTGGAAGGAAATCGTAATGCAACAAAGCTTTAGTAAATGCGCTATCTTCAATAAATTTCAATATAATCATGTTAACAGGTAAGACTAAGGGCTATATTTCAGGCTAATCATAAATTCTAAATAAATTTTAGAAATATTTTAATGGTAAGAGTCATTCAATTCAACCTGTATATATAAGGTGATCTGAAAGTCTGTTCAGTAATATTTCATTAACTTTTAGTACAGATGAACATTATGGTGTGGCATCAATTTCCTAAAGAAAATAGGGTCTAATTTTCAAAAGGGATGAAATATATAATGGATTGTAAAAGAGGTTGTGCCCCGTACTTCATGAATAGTCATAATAAATTCAAGCTCAGATGTATGGACAGAAAAGAAGCGAGACTTGGAAGGAACGTTTCCAAACACCACATTCTCACCCATTTTTTTCACTTTGCCTACAAATTGCTCATCTGCAAGTTTGCATTTCTTTTTCACCAAAGTAGAGGCAAAAACAAACAATGAACAACACAAAACCCCAAGTAGCACAGAATAGAGCAGTTGCAATCCTTTTGAACTATACATATTTTTTTAAGATTCACTTTTATATATAATTCACATATATTTTTTATTAAAGTACTTTTCCTTTTGTCAGAATAATGTACAATATCTTAAACTAACTTTCTTTAGTAAGTTTTGTTTTCATATCTTGTAAATTATCCCACTTTAAGTAAACTCTTTAATAAGCGTGTGTTTCTTATTATTAGTGAACCTTTTTCATTGGTATGTAGCAAATGCAGTAATATCCTGTTATTCTTTTTTTAACGTAAACATCATAAAACTCAGCAATGTCCAATATTGGTATAAAGGCCGACATTTGCAGCATTCAAACACTTCAGAAAGCTCCGATGTCAATACAATTTGTGTTTTCAAAGGTTATCTTTCATGAATGCAGACACAAAATTGTGCACATGTATTTCTAGTATTCAATCACTACATTAAATGCATAATGTAGATTTATAAGAATTAAAACAATGTTAATTCAAAATAGCTGAACGTATTGAACATGTAGTTCACTTTGTTCATCAAAATGCTTTGACTATGCATAATTAAGCATAGGGCTTGAACTGATATTTAAAAATCCCAGATAATATATATAAGAGGTACAACGATATACTGGTAGTACTTTTTGATCTACTCCATCAGTATGATAAATAGTATACTTTGTATAAATCGATAAAGTCCTTAGAACAGGACTCAGAGTGAAAGGTTAATAGGTGCATTTTAGCATGCAATGTGAATGACCGTCATTGATGACGACATAAACTGGATATGTATATGATTATACACATGTAGTATGTATATTAATGTTCAGAATAAGATAAGCTCATATCCATTCCATGTTAACTACTCATGCTTTCTGCTTTAAGTGATAAATTTGTAAGAGTGTACGAGTGTGAACACACACAGGATTAAAGTTATTCCCAATACTTCTGAATGCACTATGTGCACAATTCATGCTGTATCCATCTGATCCTAGTGATTAACAATGCTTGAAGTTAATAATTAACGTTATTTTAGAAATAGCAATCTTATTTGCAGTGTACACAATTAATGCTGTTTTCTTTCCATCGTAAATGATTCGAAATGCTTGTACCTTACATAGTCTCTCTTCAGAAAGAATCGTCATATTGTTTAACACGAGGTAATAACACACATTACGTTTGAAAATACATGGCTTAATGTTAAATCTTGGGTAGCTTTGGTGCACTGACGAGAGGGTTGCTCTGCTCCAGGAGTTTCCTGCCCTCCGTCTTGTAATCGTACTCGCAGTTGTGGGCTTCGGCGTAGCGATGGCTGGCACAGAAGTTGTGATTGCACCTGTCAACAGGAAGGGGAGATGGGAAGAGGAAGAAAAGAGTGGCGTTATTGTAAGCTCGAGAAGACGAAAAGTCTATGTTTGGTTTTTTGTAAAAGCTGGGGTCAAATATCGGTCAGGTAGTAAGAAGAATTGGGAGATTGAAACTTGTTAATAGTTATGAATTTTGACTTTCTTGCATTGCAATCAATCAGTCTTAAACCAGTTGTGATTTAATAAGTTCATGGCATGAAACGTTCACAAATCTCTGGTGAAATTTGCAAACATTTTCATGCATGCAAAAGCTAATTCTGCCTACATTGTAAGTCAAATCTGTTGAGACCCCAAAATAGTTCCACCTATACAAAATTCAACTTAGGACATTTAATTGGCACATGTATTGCAAAGTGTTGTCCCCAAAAAATTCGGCTTATGCCATTTTGAGTCATGCAGAACTAACTGTACCTTGTAAGTTATGGTGAAAGAAGTACAGGCATATGAAAGAATTGTTCATGTTTTGGTAAAATCCTGGAACAAGCAAAGCCACTCGGCACAGTAAGACTTAATATTAATCTTGAGCTCTGGTATGGGCATTGTATGTCGAGAGAACATGGCTATAATTCATTCTGGATTGTTTATCCTGCAGTAGATTGATCGTTTAAACCAGGAAAATAAGGAACAATCTCAAAAAAACTTCCAGAAAATCATCATTCAATACAAACCACAGCTCTCATTTGCACACAGTAACCTGTGTTTTAAGCACATGGTGTTGGGCCAACTTCCCTAGATTTCCTCATCTTTCTATGCTCATTAATCAGCCCCAATACATTTTCAATCAAAATTGTTTGTCGCATATCATTTATTCCTAATCTTGAACATTCAGTTCATGTTTTGTTGGATTATGTAAGAATATATTTTGTATCATTACCAGAACTCAAACTTTAATCTTTAAGGAAAAAGAAAGGCAGTCCTGGTGGAAACATGCAATGGAAATGGTCTTACCTGCATGCATAACTGGTGGCAAGGCCGGTTTTCTTGTTGCACATGAAGCATCTCTTACTCGCCTTCTTCTTGGAGCCGATAGCTGGCTTGGTGACTGGAGGCAGGCGATGAGCTGGAGATGTTACTACAGGGTGAACAAAGAAAAACAAGAGTTCAATAATGGTTTGTTCTGGTAAGAGGTGCTGTACAAACTAGCAAGTGAAGTGCATGTGAATAAAAAGAGCTGGATATGTTAATGCGTGGTGAAGGAATAAATAAGGAATACATGAATGTTTATGCTGAAGAGAAGATACAAAAGAATGAACAAATCAGCAAATGATATCTGAGCTGGAGGTGTGAGTAAAGAGTGAATTTAAAAATTAGAAATTAGAAACAAGAAATGGCTAAATATGTAAAAACTAGCAATAAACCAGCAATCTTACGACAGGGTGAACAAAGAAAATATTGTCGCGACTGGTTTATAATGAGATAATGCTAATGTCTGCAAACTGTAAATTAGATAGATACCGGTAAGCTGGAATTTGTTATACTTGGAGCCATTATGATTACTAAAATCACGAAATGTCTTTTTTAGATGTTTCATGGATTTGAAAAAAACGTACTCCATTCACGAGTCTAATGACATCTCAAATGAAATATTGATTTCTTAAAATATAAAAATTAATTATTTGTGGAAGATACTCACATAATCTGCCTTCCTTGCTGCCGGATAACCTCCCTCGTATACTGTGAGCAGACTATAACATAAAAACACAATTGAAAATCATAAAATGAATATTCTCATATTACAGTGTATGGGCATTAATCAATGAAATATATAATGTAGGGGAAGTATTCTAAAACACTATATGACGTTTTTTGTTAAAAAGAGATAGGTTAACTGTCATTACAACTAGAAAATCAGGGAATATTCGATTCATAGGTGCTTCCACAGATGTCTTTTTAACTACATACATGTATGTGCATGTACTGTAGATACTAGGCCTACTGCCAAGACTTTGTTTGTTTCTGTGTACAACATCAGGAAACCCTCAAAGCAACTTCCTTTTTCGTAGTCTTTTTATGCATTTTAAAAGCCTTGGTTCCTTTCCTGACGTTTGAAACTAAATTGTTCATTAACGAGGTTGCGATTCCTCTGAAACAAAGCAAGATGAAACATGCCCCAGTTCCCACTCTTCTCTAAACCACACAATGTGCAAAATATATTGTTCATAAAACCAATAAAACTTCTATAGTTTTCAACCCCTACATATTAACATCATATGTGAAGCATAATTAGAATACCCAAGCAACTAAACAATCACTTGTCTATGTTTCTTATGGCATCATTATTCGGAGCAACTATATGATGTTCAGTCTTTTTTTCCTCCAACCAACATGTGCCTTGCAAGCATTTGTAGTGTACATGCTAGAAAGGCTACCGGAACAGCCCAACCATGCAATGTGAATATACATGTAGGCAGAAGATTTAAAATTTAGATGCAAAATTGTTTTTTAAATTGAATACTCCTACAGTGTACATATATAGAAAGGATAAAACATTGTTACATAAAAAATATATATTTCAAGTGACAAAACTAGAACAAGTTTGACCATATTTGTCATTGTTTCTCTTCATTTTGGCTATTATTCCCAGTTGTGCAGAGTTTAAAAATCGGATCCTGAAAATCTGCATTTCTAAAGTGAGAAACAAGAAGCTTACCACTGAATAAATATACATACAGTGTAGTTCCTTTTAGAGAGGTAAAATTTGGTACATTTCCTTATTGCTTATCGTATTTCCTCAAGGCAGAGTTAACTTACAATCAGAGCTTTCCTGGCATCTGGCGTTCTTATCCTGTCTTCACTAATAGCATTTGTGAGTCCATTGCTGGAATTGAGAGCTTGAGATAGCGTCATGCTACCCGAAGTAACTCGTGAATGTCCGCTGCGCTTCCCCGTATGCGAGCTCTCGCGGTGTCCCGACCTCACAATATTGTTAATCTTGCCTTCGCGATTAGCTTGATTTACGAGTTGGGTCACCATGCGGGCATCGGCAGTCTTTAGGTTCATGCGTTCCGGGCCGCGGCTGGCGTCGGCCGCGACCTGGGCTGCTTCGGCAAGATTGGAGGAAGTGGTCGGCCGGAGGTCCTGGATGAAGGAACTCTGCGTGGAAGGGGGGTGTGGGTATGCGTTTGTCCGACTTCGGAAGGAGTGATGCAAATTGGCACCGGTGAGGTTCTCAAGGGCACGTTGCGACGATGACGGCGGTGGGACGGGGCTATGCCTGCTTTCTTTGCTACTACTGAGTCTCAATGTTCGGCTCTTGCTGCGGCTGCTCATACCGGCCGACATAGCCACTGGGTTTGTCGTAGCACCAATTTGCGTAATGTCTGCTGCCCTCGCTTTGGGCACAATTTCAGGTTTTGTCCGTGTCCTCATGCCTAGACCCTTGGCGGACGATCCAATGCGAGGTGTCCGGGTGCTAGGCAATTTCTCATGACTGTCACCGGTAGAAACCATAGCGCCCCCTACAGGTGGTAGTATTGTAGTTCCTACGGGTGGAAGGGGGCTGGTCTTGTTGAGGGACTTGCTTCCTTTCTTAGCTGAGAAGATTCTCCTCTGTCCTGAACTCTTGGGTCTACTACTGCTTGGTGGTCTTGCTGTCTTTGTTGTTTTCTATAAAAGAATAAAAAAATGCATGGTAATAATGGAGCGATAGAGCAATTCATCAACACCGAGAGCCAGAAGAGAGATAGATCTGTGTAAGAGTATATGAGGTTTAGTCCGTCTGGCTCTCAACAGACTAGATAATGCATTAGTTCTCTCTGAACATAATATGTCTTCACACATGTAATAAGTGAATATCAATGACATGTTTTCTTGAGATTTACACAAATGAAAAATCACCTAACATGTTACTGGTTCATAATTCAAAAGTTCATCATTACTATCATAAATGTTCCTTTTAACACAAGGTTTATAAATTGTATCATGTGAATACATTGCCCTGCCTTCCTGATCGTTTTACTGTACATGAATTTCAAACTTTTTACATATTTGAAATATCTTTCTTTGAATCTCCTTTTTTCAAAGTAAAATCATAGTTGATCTGTAATCTAATGTTGTAAACAGAATATATAGCAGATTTTTAAAATTAATTCTCATCAAGTTGGCTTTGAAATCTCAATTTACCTTTTTGCCAACGGATAAATTTTCCATCTTCGCTCTAAGAAGTTTCATCTTTCCCATGGTGAGGTCGTTCTCCTCCGTTGGATATTCCGGTGGCGGGTTCGGGTTCGGGTTCTTCTTCTCCTCATCCTCCTCCTCTCCAACGTTGTACACAGAAGCACCACTGTACATATAAAGAGGGAGAGAGAGGGAGAGAGAGGGAGAGAGAGGGAGAGAGAGGGAGAGAGAGGGAGAGAGAGGGAGAGAGAGGGAGAGAGAGAGGGAGAGAGAGATGGTAGGGGATTGAGAGAGAGAGAGAGAAATGTTATGTTTGTGGAGTAATTCATTTAAATGCATAATTCTTCATGAGATTGTGCCTATCATGTAATATTAAAAAGGAATGATAAAATCACCTATTTGTACCTGACAAGGACAACCTTTTTCATGAACATGTCAATGAGAAAATACTTGTCAAATACAATTTAATGTATATATCAGCATGTTAAATGATTCATTTTTTTCTCTTCATGTATTATGCCCAACTCCACAGTATGCACTCAATTCTGTTTAATTTTCTTTATTTCATTAAAAAAACATGAGTACATGTAAATTCAAGTTCAATCTACATTTGAGAGCAGGAAACACCGTTGCAAGCTTCTCTGGCTTTCCTGCTTTGTAATGAATGGCGAGGGGGGGGGGGGAAGAAATGTTCTGGGAACAACCACTAAGGTCGATTTCAAGCATTTCAATTTGATAATGTACAGGTAAATGTATGAAAATATTACCTGTGAATGTTATACACGGTTACACCATATTAATAATTTTTGGACATATTTGTTATACTATCTATTATAGTTCCATACTGTGACAAGCTTCGTCATATACATGTATTCTCTTCCTTGTTTATATGGGATTTCCCCCTTTCTCTCTCTCTCTCTCTCTCTCTCTCTCTCTCTCTCTCTCTCTCTCTCTTGGGCAAAGGGGGGGGGGTACAGTATGTTCTAAGGGCATTTAAACATATTAAGTAACTCAATACAGTTTACATACCGGTACATGAAATTCATACTACAAGTACACAACATCTATGAATGTTTGATGTATCCTCAGGTTGACGTTATGTCATAATAACATTCTAGATTACATCAGCACTGTGTAAATTTATGAGTGACATGCAAACTTGGGAATCTATCCCACTTCAACTTTTGACGTTAAGGGTGGGTTGTGGGTCGACTTGTGAGTAATACATAGTTTCCTTTCTCTTGGTTGTGATCTTGGTCAATGAAACCAGTGAACAAAACAATGAAGTGAAATCAATCTTGAAGTATGTACCTGCATGAACTATGTGCCGGTAAAGTACAGGAAAGCCCATAAGAAGAGAAGACTATAAGTACATATTTGTACATGCTGTATGCATACATGTATGATAAAATACATGAGCACTAGAAGACAAATGAGTTAAATTATAACTGTGGTCTTTATGCAGGTGGTCTTAAAATGTACAGTTTGTACAAGTACATGTACATGTACAAGTATGTACAGGTTCCATTAGTACAGGTTTAAATAAGAAACAATAGTAGGGAAATTAAAAATGTGGTCTTTATAGACAAGTGGTCTTTCTATACAGGTGATTGCTAAAGCAGGTTTGACTGTATTCTGCATCATACAAAAAAATAAACATCTCTGGAACCAGAAATAAAAAATTAATCAACACCACATCCTCATTTCTAATCAAAGCCAAACAAAACAAAATTATAGCCTCAGGATATTGCAGGAGTGTGACTGGTATCAAACAAAAACACATCAATAGAAGATCTTATTGATCTAGCACCTGGCCTTCACGACTAGATGCTTATAATGTAATTCATACTCCCAAGAGACCCAGCTCCTCCACTTGCCATTGATTTTCAAACATCCCTCGCTCGCTGTTACGTTGAATGATTGCATCTCAACTAACGCACGAGGGAGAGCATTTCATAGATTTACAAAGCTTGGATGAATTCAATACTCAACGATGCTCAACATTATTGTACTTTGTAGGCCTATCTACATGAAGCGCCTGTCATTCAGACATGTATAGTACATGAATATTATATTACATTGCTCCAAAATGATGAAATGTTTCCTTGAACAGTTAAACTTAAAGGGAGACGTTTATGCGTATAAGAAGAAGAAGAAAGAAAGACACCGTTTAGAAAGGACCATTTTGTAGTTAGCACATGTGTCAAATGACCCGAAAATATCCACAGATCTTTTACTCATGGAGAAGTCCCACTTTGTGTATTTTAGAATAATCAATGCCTAAGTCATGTACATGTACATGTATGTGCTTCATGAAAAGCTTTTGTTTGCCCTCTTGTATCATAGAATGTACCGTAGGTGCACACATGAATAATGATTACATGTACATAACATAAGCACGTATTCATTTTACAATTTTATCACAAATGACCTTTATCTGCCCATGTGCAGATAGTATTTACAAAATGGCTTAAAAGGGATGGGTCATGTGTTTGTCCTTTTACTAAATGGTTGCTATGGAAAAGCTTGCAACTCTGCAAATGAGCTAAAAATGTATACAATTATGTGGGTAGGAAAGGGTCAACAAACTATCCACATCAACGAGTCCTACACATATCTAGGGATGAAACCTCCTCCCCCCCCCCCCCCCCCCCCCCCCTGCAAGGTGCGTAAGGTGGGAACATCTTGGAGGTGAGCCAGGCCAGGTAAGGGGTCTATTGTGTACATTGGAAACCCCCTTGGTAACCAGTGTTATCCCACAGACTATTGACAAGCAGGTAAGGGTGGCTATTGTGTGAATACAATGGCCAGGGGGTCTATTAACGGTCTATAATGAGAAGCAAGTGGTCAAAGGGAAGGCTCGGTCAACACATACAGTGGTTGGAATTAGTCTATCTATCCAGACTCGCAATGTGTGCCAATAGGCAATACACATTTATTGACAACACGTGTCTATAATTTATGGAGGTTCCATGCTAGGAGATGGGAGCGAGATTTATCCATCCCTCATACAAGTGTAGTGTGGAATGTCTATGAAAATACATGTACAAATGAAATGTACAGTGTACATGGAAATACAGGTACTGTACACAACATGTACATGTATATACAATGTCCATTCATGTTCAATTTTAATTTCTACAATAACAATACCAAGAAGGCCTACATTTGCAAACAGGTACATGTACCCAAGTAGACCTACAATGTGTACATGTAATGTACATTGTACATACAGACTGCAATATTGGGGGTTGGACAAAAATGTATACCGGTACATGTTTTCATAAGGAGCTTATAATTTGAGGTCAAACCGTTCCATTTTGGAGATATGAAATTTGTTTTAACAAATTTCTGACTAAAAATTTTATGCTAGCTTTTTGACAGATTTACAAAGTGGAGGCAAAAGGGGATCTACATGTATCTAAATTCATTATTTGTTTTTGCTACATAAAGTACATGTACAATTTACATAGTACACTAAAGGTGTTAAAAGTTTGATGTTTTTATGTTTCCCATTGTGCAAGAGGATCTTCTTCTGGAAATGTAAGACTAGGCAGTGTACAACTACTGTACAGTGTAGATTATTTGTTTATCAATCCATTTGTAATGGGTGATCACATGCTTTGCCTTTGACAGCAATAACAAATGCTGGTATAATGTACACTGTACAGTAAAACACAATAAAGAGTGAAGTCCTGCTAATTGTTGTGATATCTGGGCCCCATTTCACAGAGCTTGTCATCAGTGACAAATGACAGTTTTTGTTAAAAGCTAGCGAAATCCTTGCTTCTGATTGGTTTTCAGCAGATTTGTCACAGAGAAAAGGCTTTGAGAACGGGTCTCAGGTCTCTGTCTCATAAAGTTTGTGTTAGAAAAAAAGACACAATTACTGTTATTTTATCTTTGTATATATTGTCATGATGATGGTCTGGAAATAAATTTCAATTCAATACTGAAATTGTGGCAATCGATTGGCTGAGAGCCAATTTGTCATAGAAATTTAGCATTTGTTATTGATATCAAGTTATTGTGAAACAGGGCACTGACTAGCAAATAAACTGACACATTAATGTTTTACAAACATGTTTTTCTAGTTTTCTGTTTTCATCTTCATCTACGGAAGGCCAAATAAGAAAAATTAAGTGTTTCTTGTCCCTGCCAGCCTCCTCTTTTTTCTTTTTTTACTATTTACTATCAGAAGAAGAAAAAAAAAGAAAAAAAAAAACCCCTGCCTTGTCACCTTTTGTTTAAAACACCTGGACGAGAAACACTGTATTTTTGTTATTTGGCCTAAATTCTTTCCTTGCTACCTGTCTGTTTCCCCCAACAATGCAATAATTCTTGATTTTCAATCTGTTCTTCCCTTTCTCTGTCTTGTGCTCACAAGATTAATTTGCTTTCTCTCTCTCTCTTTCTCTCTCTTGCTTTCCCTCTCTCTCTCTTTCTCTCTGTCCATAACCTTCCTCCTTTACTTATCATCAGTCCTCACCTTAGTGACTCCGAGAGCGGGGTCAGCGTCCCGTCTCCCCGGTCCACGACACGGAAGAAATTGAGCTGGTCTCCTTCCCGGAAGACGAGGAGGGTGACCTGGCGGTTGCCTGGCAACTTCTCCCAAATCTCCTCTTTGTTGGCCTCCATGTATTCCGCCATCTCCCGGATAGCAGGATCTTCCATCGGAACTGTCAAAGAATAATTAGTTAATAACATTTATTTCCCATATAGACATGTACAGTATGACTGTATACTGTTCAAAAGCATGAACATGTACTGTGAAGTGCCATACATGTAGCTACGATCAGACAAATAACCCAAATTGTTTCAATGTGATTGTAGCCAAACCCTTAGGCACATGTAATGTACATGTAGATGTTGTCTTGATTTGTGTATTGTTTTAATAATGTTTAGTAACGAATATATATTTCATATTTTTTATTATCAAAATAGGGTCAACATTTTTATAAGGATTATGTTTTCTTTCTGGTTGCAACCTATTCAGTTTATTTTATGTCCTTGTCAAATATGTTCTTAGTGTGTATTGTATGTTATATACCCGATTGTTTCTTTATAACTGAATTAAACAAAATTGAATTGATTGAATTGAAGTAAAGATTAGAATGGAATATCTTCAAAACGATCCCTTCCATAAAAGTTGGTATGGAGCCCTGTACAAGTATTTTCCCATTGTATAGCCCATTTTTTTTAGGGTTACCAGTGAGAATTCAAGAGTGGGTTTGAAAATCTTTGAAAATTGTTTAGTTTGTACACAAAAAGCCTAGATATTGAAACTGAATTGATAGGGCCTGAATTCAGGCTTTTGCCTTGAAAACTGCCACCTATTATTTGTATTTTTATTTCTAATGAAACTAAAACTATTTCAGTTTAATAAATTAAACCACAAGCTACTGAAACTATAGAATTTGATTGCCTGTGAGCAAATTTGTTACAGAATGGTAGCAATTCACCGGTTTAGGGTTACGACAGTGCGCATGCGCAGACATGGGCGCCATTTTAACTGCCTGTGCTGTGCGCTCACATCATATTGCATGGGCGCTATCTTAATTTACGCGTTAACCACTGACCTCTAGAGGTCAACGATTTGTTTACTCGTACATTAAAATGGCGCCCATAACCGTAAACTGGTGTATTGTTGTCAGAGCAGACCACCATTAATACTCAGCACAAGAGACAACTTGGGCTCTGAAGAAGATCATAGCCAAGTTATCCACAAAAGCTTAATAGATCAAAAATACTTGTGTTGATTTATTGCATTAGATATGTTGTGTACATGTTGAACACCACATTAAAGAATACTTGATATGAACATTTCAGATAGTGAATAGTGAAAAGTGAATACAAATTTCTAAAGGTGAAAAGTTCAGCAAAATTAATGGCGATTTAGAGGCCCTTTTGTCACACAAGCTACAGTGTACAACACAATCTACTACACAAGTTGTGAGTAACTGGCATTTAAACTCTAGAAATGCAATATGATGCAGAGATTGTCCCATTGTTGAGTTAGCCCCCCCCCCCCCCCCCCCCCACCATTCAGAGCCTGTTTATGAAGTACAGTATGGCCCTGATCCTTATTTTAAAAGTAACATTGTTTATGTAACTTGACAACAAAAAGACTCACTTCTTCGAGTATTGATAGGACCTCCCCTCATTGCCAAGACCAACTTCAGAGATGCCGATGGTGGAATTCTGATGGGGAAAAAAAAGAAAGAAAGAAATTGAACACTTTTCTTGACATTAACTCTGCATAGAGCTTCATGTAAATACATGTAGTTGAATCTGTTGGGACAGCATAATTAGTTTGATTATGGCAAAATTAGACATAGTCAATGTGAATAAAATACGTTTTGCATAGTTTGGTTTAAAAAAAGAATATGTTTGACTTGGGCCTTTTAGGGAAAATTTGAGTTGTGCATCTTTGAGTGATGCCGAGTTAACTGTACATATCGTCCTTGTTTTCACGAAGTGACGGTAGTGAGGAAAATCGTAACGCAAAGTGAATGCAATTTTTTTCACTACCGTCACTTCGTGAAAACAAGGACGATACAAACTCTTTTTTGTAAATACATTGAAATGACTTGGACTGCTGTCCCGTTACTTGATCAAACAATCAAAGTCTTACCCATAGTCCTGCAAACAGTAATCATCCTCAAGCTCTACAGACCTCCAAATGAGATGTTGCTGGGAGATGGGGATACCTGCAAATAATTAACAATCAAAGACAATACAATTTATCAATTTTGTTGTTATATGCACATACATACATGGGGGCGGGGGGCCTTAAGACGAGTTGCGATTGATTTAAATCAATCACAACTTTTTATAAGATGGGGCCTTGATTGATTCAGAAGTTCCAACTGTGTAGATATAGAACATTCAACATTCAATCAGAGTCTAAGTTTTAATTAATTTTTTTTTACTTTGGTATGACAAGTTAAGACATGAGAAGATAAATAAGATGTTTGCCATTTCAAAATTAAGGCCCTTGGTGGCTTGGCCTTATGCTAGGTTAAAACAGGGCTGTCAACTTTGGGGAACTGCTTCGAGGGAGATCGTATGCAACTTTTTTTGGGCTCAACAGGGAAGGGGGGGGGGGGTTGTTGAGTAAGAAAAAAAAATCAAAAAAATCTGTGCGCCATCTACACGTTCGTAATGGCGTTATCACAGTTTTTTCCTTCATAATCATTTTGCCTTCGGCGTAGACTAGAAGGGATGAGATTGACGGCAGCGAGAGTTTAACACGGCTTGCAAGATTTGCAACATGGATGTCGATTTTGACCCATAATTTCCTTAAAAGGGACCATTAAACGGATTATTTCAATCAAGTTAGTAAGTGGAACCGATGTATTATAGCCTAGGCCTAATTTAAAATTGGATATGGACAAGGTAAAATGACATTTTGGGGGATTTTGGGGGCATAACAATACGGCCGTGGCAAGTTTGTCATGTTTGTGGCTAAAATCTAGCCGTGATATCTTCAACATACGATGGTATAGGCGATCGTTCAGTCTCTATAACCGGAGGTCTAGTGGAGCCAGACGTAGTCTCAGTGGAACAACCGACGATTATAGAGACTGAAGCTTTCGGTCTAGGTCGGGACTAGATCTAGGCATTCGGTCTCCGATTAAAATGGAGCCGGAGGGCTTGAGCAGTTAACTACTGAACAATTCATATTTCATATCAATCTCAACACCCTATATTAGTACTTAAAAGTATTAGTAGTGACACAGAAAAAAAATATATATATTTCCACCCATTATCCCCCCTAGATTCTCTAGACTATATATTTTCCACTAATTTCAGTGAGTAACTTCGCACCTTCCAATCTCTGTATTTTGGCCTTGACAGAAATCACAGTTTCGAACGGCGACACTCGCAGCTCGAACACAGTTCCTGTCAAAGTCTCAATGAATAATTCCATAATATCAGCATATTCTGGATAATCAATGTACTCCATGGTGTCTTCCTGCAGGTTGCTCTCCATCTGGAAACAACTAAGGGTTCACCACCTTTCCTTGTAAAACTCAAATCACTTTTGATCCACCATTTCGATTCTCATCTTGGCGAAGGTAAACCGGCTTGGAGTTGGAATGTTTGACTTTTCTACGTAGCTAGCACTGTCTGTAGCAGTTGCTGATGTCTCCATAAAATCACGCCATTGTGCCTGTATTTGTTGGATATTTCAAAGACTTGAAGTTGAATTTGGTCCACTAACTTGTCAAACCTGATTTTTCGTGAGCTATTTGCCTACGAAGTCGGTAAAATACAATTGAATGCGATATTAGTACTGCGGACTTGTTGTTTCCTTTTAATAATTTCTTTTTCCCCATTATTTCTGCACGTACGATAATATGCGCACGTACTTCGTACGTACGTACAATTCCAAGCAGTACGGTACGGTACAAGCGGATCGGGAATCGGCACACACACCGCTGTAACCGGGGGCGCGTTTCCGTTTTACACCCTGCCCTAGGCTTTTCTCCAATAAAATTTTACAAACCGACTGGTATTCGGAGTCTAGTCGTCCACATCTTGCCTCGGCGCTCTGCACACACCACCAGAACTCTGAAAACGTCACGTAGCGCTAGCTAACTCTCTATACTAACTAGTTGATCTTCCTAGTCGTATCATTTATTTTTATCCATTAATACGCAATACTCTAAGAGCGTGAGGATGCGTGATCAGCTCGCAAAATTTAGCCCAGCGATAACAAAACAATAATATATCGGGAAAACCGTCTTGAACAAGAAGACCCTCGCATCCCCAATTGAAATTGTATAAGCTTTGGCTTCGCTATTCTTGACGTCGATATAAACAAACTTAGACTTCGGATACAGCATGTTTCGTGTAATTTCTTGCCGAAAAGCCTAGGGCAGGGTGTAAAACGGAAACGCGCGCCCCGGGGGGCAGGTGCACACAAACAAACGTCTCTAGCTAGCGAGCTAGCTCAGCGCACCCGGATTGCACAGCAAGAGTGTGGTATGCTCTGAAGTTAGCGACCATTTTTAATGGATGAATGGACATCATTTGTAACAAAAGCAAACGATAATTTGCTAATATTTGGTGTTTGATACCGAAAGCAACATAGATATTGAGTCGCATGCTCGAGATAATATATCGAAAAAAGAAAATACACCAGACACATTGAATATAAAAACAATGCATCTCTTAATCTCTTTTTCATTGCGGTTCTTAGATGGAAAAAAAAAAAAATCGAAAAAAGAAACTAAGCGATATTTTCAGTTCATTAGTGACGTACGTCACCATTGGTAACGCGGGTCATACGTACGTACGATGATACTACTAGTATATTTATTTATTTATTTATTTATGCATATTCACAATTTCATAATTCATTGGAGTTAACATTACATGAAAAAGAATATAATATGTTAAAAATCCTTTCCAATTGTACAATACATTTGAATTGACTTCACATGAAAAAGAATATATCAATGTTTTATCAAAGACAAGTTGCAACTATTATACAGTTTAAAGAATGAACATATACAAAGGTGATGAAACAAAAGCAAATAAAGCTTCAATTGTTACAACACCTTTCAAATATATGATATACGACAAACAAAATTCCTTAAGGGTTGTGAACTATTTACACTATTTACAAAGAACAAGAAAAAAGAAGAAATATATTAAAATGTAAAAAGTCTTTTAGATCATAAAATAATTAGATTTATGTTTGATATAATGAGAACTGATATATAGATTTTGTTTATATGTAAGTAATATCTTACATCTGCGAAATTTAAAATCATTTGAGTGCTCTTTTAAAGGAGTTTGGTGATTTTATATTAGTTAGGTAGATAATTCCATAAATCTGCATCACTGCATGGACCCCTATGTCTGATTGATTTCTGGGCTAATGTAGTGTGAGGATTGACCACATGTAAATTCGCGTATCCGGACAACTACCCCTGGACATCCACCCCCGGATAACCACCCCCAGTCAACTACCCCCTAGGACAGATACCCCCTAGGGCAACCACCCTCTAGGACGACTCCCCCAAGACAACTTCCCCCGGACAACCAGGCACGTAGCCAGAGTTTGATGGGGTTTTTTTTTTGGGGGGGGGGGGCACATACATGTAATCGATCGAGGTCAAAAAGGGGTCTACAAAAATTCAACCTATCTTGGAAATTTTTAGGGGGCACGTGCCCCCCCCCCCCCCACATGCCCCCCCCCCCCTGTTGCTACGTGCCTGCGGACAACTAACCCCTTGACAACTAATCCAAGGACAACTACCCCCTAGGACAATTACCCCCTGGACAACTACCCCCATTACGCAGACCACTATCCCCTAGGACAACTAGCCCCGGACAACTACCCCCGGATAATTACCCCCTAGAAGAGTTGTCCGGGGTCGTCGTCCTAGAGGGTGGTTGCCCTAGGGGTACTATAGTTGTCCTGGGGGTACTATAGTTGTCCTAGGGGGAAGTTGAGTTATGGTGGTTATCCGGGGGTGGATGTCCATGGGAAATTTTCCTATAGAACCGTAAAATCGATGACTGCCTTGTTGAATTATGAGTGAACCACGTTGTTAGGTTGAAACATTGAAGATAATGCAGTAGGTTACAATTTGATATTGAAACGGAACGTAAATATGATTAAACAACGATCCTACCACTGGGGGGGGGGGGGGGCACCTATGCAGAATCTATGAAAACTACTGTTCAAGAGGAGAAATTGGCATTAAGAATTATAAACAAAAAAATATGGGGGCGCTCGATCAGTAGGGATGCATGGGCATTTTGCGAGTATCCTTGGAAAGCGTTGGGCACCCTTCTCCTTGCCCTCATTGATTCCTACAACTAACGGCCTAATTCAATTTTGTTGAAATTAATTAAATATAATTATATCAAATAGGTATATATTTAATTAAATGGTTGCAGGGGCGGCAAAGCGTCTTCCAAAGCAAGCCGGGGTGGGGCAACATAAAAAGAGGCACTTTCTGAAAAGGGGCTCCTACACTGAGGGAAAACTCAATGCGAAAATCTACCATTCTATTTGGGGGGACCAAGAAAAAAGGGGCACTTTCTGGAGAAAAAAATGTGGGCTCTTACATGGGAAAGTCTATCATTTTGTTCGAGGGCACCAAAAAAAGAGCACTTTCTAGAAAAAAGGGGCTCCTATACAAAAGGAAACCTCAAAGCGAAAATCTATCATTTTTAGACTTTCCTAATATCCCTTTATGATTAAATTATGACGGATGACTTCAAAATTTGTTTCTCTCTTTACATGGTCCAAGATACTACTTAAGCATCTAACCTTGCAGTTGGGTGTGATGGTCTGAATATTTATTTACGAGTGAGCAAAGCGAGCGATCAAAAAAAAATTAAGAATTGTGAAGTTGCAGGGGAAAAACTTATATCTTATAAAAGAAGGAAACAAAAACAAAAAAAGGTCCACTCCAAAAATAACTTACTTTCAATATAACCAGAAAAATTAGACAAACCAATCAAAAATAGTTTGAGCAAAATCGGGTTACTAATAAAAAAAGTTATGATTTTTTAATGACTTTAAAAACTTTGAAAATCACTACACAAATTGGCAACTCACTCATGAGTCTGTGACGTATGGTCCTCACTATCCACTAATTATTTTCTTTATATTGATAAAAGAAATTTCCTATTTTCACCCTAATAATCTTATTTCTTCACTCCAGCATCCAAGTTAGATTGTTAGTAATTTGTGTGGATGCACAAATAAAGACGTTTTTTTCAGTTAAATCATGAACATTTAATTTCGATAAACTATTTATATAAAAATCAATAATTATGAAATATAATATTCAGGAAATAGTATCAATTCTTCAAAATTCATAAAAGGTTTTGGGAATTGTCATGCACGCAATATGATACAAATCATATAACCTGAGCAAAGGCATGTGGAAATCAAGTTTTTTGGGGGATAAAAAGGTAAATTAATGGGATTAAACTATATAATGCAATTGATAAGTTGTGAGGACATGACGTCACAAACTGATAACTAAATTGGCAATTTGTGTACTGATTCTCATTGTTCCATAGTTTTACATATACTTTTTCAAAAATTCATAACTTTATTATTAGTTATCCGATTTTGCTCAAACTTTTTTTGATTGGTTTGTCTGATTTTTCTGCTTCTATTGAAAGTAAATTATTTTTGGAGTGGACTTACCCATTAAGGAGCCTAATCATAACATACTAAACAGACCTTAATAAACATATCAACTATCAATGCGAGTAAGCGTTGCGAGCAGGATTTGAGAAAATTAAAGAAAAAATTGCTCTAAGTTTTAAATTAGGGGCACATGTAAAAGGTGAAAAGGGCAAATATCAGATGTGAAAAGGGGGGATTTTTCGGAGTCTTTGGACCTTAAAAGAGCTATTCACCAGAGATGGAGAAAAAGGCACTCATTAGAACGAAAAAGAATTGTCGCTGTCGAAAGAAAAGGGACATATATCAAATTTTAATGTGGGCATTTTCTCATACTATAGGTGAAAAAGGGTATTAATGAAAAAGGGACGGGAAAATTGGCACTTATCAGAAGAAAGAAGGGCGCTTATTTGGAAGAAAAGGGGCACGTGTAAAAATAAATGAGGCACTTATCAGAGGTGTAAACGGTCACTTAAGAAGGGTAAAGGGCAGTCTTACCGAGGAAACGGGGCACCGTGTCAAATTAAAAGGGGCATCTCTCAGATTTGAATAGGGGACAATATTATCAGTGTCGGTGAGAGGCGCTTATATGTCAAACGGGCACCTTTTTGGACTATAAGAATAAGGGGTAGTACTTTTTTAATCTAAGGGACCCTTGCCTATGTAAAAAGGGGCACTTTGGGGATACTTAGGGAGGGGACGCTGTGCCCTTGCCCCCCGGGATAGCCTCCTCTGAGCCACATCAGAATACCGTTGTTCCTGCAGGCCCTGTAATTAATAATTGCCATTTACAAACTGGGTTCCGTTGCCAAAAAACTTACCGTTGATGGTTACTACCATGGAGTGATTTTGAAGTTATATGGAAGTTGCCATTGATGGCAAAGTTACCATCAATGGTAAGTTTTATGCGACGGGGACCAGGGTGGAGGCGGGGTAGAGAGTGCAAGGCAAAGTAGATCAATGTCTTTAAAATAGACGTTGGGATTCGAACCCTAAACTTTGGATGATGATGATAAAAATAACAATGATAAATGTAATAATAATAAATGATAATGATAACGATATTAATAATTATAATAATACTGACAATGATGATAATGATGTTGATGATAATAACGTCTGTAAAAGGAGCATCCTATAGATCCCTTCCCAGGCGCGGATCTACGGGGGGGGGGTTTAGGGGGTTTAAACCCCCCCCCCCTTGGGCGGCCCCCCCAAAAAAATTTAAAAGGAAGAAAAAAAAAGGAAAAAAAGAAAAAAAGAAAAAGAAAAAAGAACGGACGC